GGATGGGGTAAGTACCTTCCATTTGTAGCAAATTAATTGTAGTGAAAGAAGCCACTGGGTTCAGGGTGAGGAGTGGGGAAGGGGTGCTGGGATGGGTCAGGGGCAGAGGGTTTGGGGTCCACAACCTGGCATAGCAGCCTCTCCAGCAAGTAGAGGCCTAGGACAGCCTTAGGGAAGAGGCAGGATCTGTGTGGCCCTGGGGGTGACTAACAAAGCATTGGGCTTTTCTTCCTTTCTGTTTCTTTCTTGTACCCAGCAAGTTAACTTGGTTTCCTCAGAAATGGGCAGGGTGGACTCAGCTTTGGAACCGCTTACAGCTTTTTCCTTCTGCCCTGAACTTTCTGATGGGTCAGACTTGGGGAGGCGATGGGGCAGAATGCTGGTCTGAGGTCTCCATGCACAGGGAGGCTACTCAGGTAGCCTGACTCACCCACTTCTAGGACTAGACAGACAGAAAAGCAGAAAGAATCGCTCACTATTTGGCACAAATCAGACCAACAGAACTTACAATAGAAAGTTTATTTTTTGTTTCCAGTCAGTATTTTTTCCTTAAAAACAAATACCCCCCCAAAAAAAAAAAAAAAAAAAAAGCTGATCACAGTTTGCTTAAACAGCCAGACTTGGACAATATTTGTAACTTTGTTCACAAAAACATACATCACTGAAGCTGCGCTTATAAGAGCCACTTCCAGAGTTCGTGCAAAGGGTCCTACAAAGGCACGCAGGGACACACCGCTTGGAGTCACAGTTTTCGTCACAGAGTCACTAGTCACTACACGTCGAACAAGTTAAGTTGTGTCTCATCAAGTCACCTCTACGACAGCATTAATTACACAAGGAATATAGGTAGTTTGAATAAAAATATTTTTAACAGCTTGGAGCTATTGAGACAGGAACACTTCCACGCACATGCACAGTTAAACAACTTGAGTGCAACACACAACATTGGCACTAAACGAGGTTGAAGGGGGACTTTTTGTGTGTTTTCTCTCTTCTTTTTTGTTATAGTTACTTCAAGTAACACAGCTTGCTTCATATAAATAAGTTAAAACATCTATTTTTTTTTTCAAGACAAAGCCATTCAGGACAAAGAGATGAACAGAAAGCAGCTCTACTTATACAGGCGCTATAATGGCAATAAACAGGCTCATGATTAAAAGATGAATTAGGGCAAGAGAACAGGGCTTCTTCACAGAAGGAACACAAGGGAGTTTCAGAAAGTCACCTTAGTACTGACACTACGCGGGATCCGCTAATACTGCTCAGTACTTTAAACACTCAGATACTCAGGGGCGGAAGGCCCCTCCCGCCGCCGCCATGCTCATGCTTTTCAGCTTATTATCTTTTTTCCACTTCATTCTCCGGTTTTGGAACCAGATTTTAATTTGTCTCTCGGAGAGGCAAAGAGCATGTGCTATTTCAATCCTTCTTCGGCGGGTCAGGTAGCGGTTGAAGTGGAACTCCTTCTCCAGCTCCAGGGTCTGGTAGCGGGTGTAGGCCGTCCGAGCCCTTTTGCCTTCCGGGCCGCCTATGTTGTCTGCAACAGAAAAGCCAGCGGTTTAGCCAACTCCTCAGTTGCTGGCTTCCAAAGTCTGCCAGCCGGACTAGCCAGGGTCCTGAGCAAGGAACCTGGGCGAAAAGCTCAACAAGTCCTCATTCCCTGCTCACTCACCCCTCCCGAGTTTCCTTCCCTCTTCCTTTCTAGAGAGAAAACAATACTATTTGGACTCTGGAAACAGTCGGCCCATCTGAGGTTGGAGCCCCGTCTGGAGGGCCCGGGCTTTCCCTTCTCTCTCTCCTGCCCTCTGGTCCTGCCCCAGGCACTCTGAGCCCGGGCACAGCCCTCCCAGGCTGCGCACTGTTCAGAAACCCACCAAAGCACAGCCCTTTTCTGAGCGCCCAAGTGACTTCCAGGTCACTCTCCTTCAAAGTTCCAGTTCCTGAGAGCCACCTCCTGTTTCAGCCTGCACTCTTGGGGCGCTTGCTTTTCCTTCTCTAGTCCTCCTACCCCCCAAACTTCAGAATCCCACCGGCTCTCATCTTGATTATTCCCCTCAAGCCTCTTTTCGGGGGCTCTAATTAGTAACGCCGTTTCCCCAGCGTAGCCCTCCTCATAAATTATCCGCCCTGACAAGCCCGATTCACCGCCCCTACTGCCATCCTCTACCTCTCCGAGCCCTGCTCGGCTGGCCTGACCCTGGAGCGCGTTCCGAGGCGCTGGAGTTCGAGATTTTTTTTTTTTTCCCTCCCTTCCTCCTCCTTGCAACCACTAAACTTGTCCAGCCTGTGGCCCCTTCCCCCACAATTTGCGAGCGCAGGGTGCTGCTGAGACAAGAAGGAAGGAAGAAGGAAGGGAAAGGAGACCGGCAGGGAGACGCTCCGCAGGGCTGGGAGAGGCGAGACCAGGAGACAGACGGGGAGAGAGGGCGGCAAAGGAGAGAGGGGGACCGAGAGCCGCGCCCCCGAGGCCGCGTGGATTTAGAAAAAGGCTGGCTTTACCATGACTTATGTGCAGCTTGCGCATCCAGGGGTAGATCTGGGGTTGGGCGGGCGGCGCCGGGCTCGGCTCGCTCTGCGCGCTCGCCTGCTCGCTGCTGGCGGGGGCGTCCTCCTCGGCTCCCGACGCCGTGCCAACCCCCTCTCTGCTGCTGATGTGGGTGCTGCCGGCGTTGGCCGAGGCGCCGCTGGAGTTACCCAGGGAGTTTTTCCCGCCGTGGTGGCTGTCGCTGCCGGGCGAGGGGG